AGATGCATATATACCAAGTCAATAGACCAAGGCACATTCATACACCAAATAAAGACCCTTCTGGATCCCACAATCCATACTAAAAGGAAGCATATGAGTACTGCATTTAGCTAACACTGCTGCCAGCACCAAATTATTTCTCTTCTCCCTCACGTACCTGTTGAAGTGAAGAACTATCAAGTACTGGTGCAACACAAAAAGTACACCAGCATTAACTGGCTAGCTGCATTCATTTTGCATGACTTTATACTTCTTTATGCTCAGTCACGGATTGGCCCAGTGTAAGTAGAGAATAGAGTTATCTAATGAGCATAATGGAGCCTGCCTGAAAATACAGCCATCTCTCTTTAGAAGCTGACAGCTGAACTGTTAGGCTAAGAGGTCAGAGCTGATTGGCTTGAGCACCAGCTGTATATGGCCTTGGGAAATACATGAAAAGCTTTTCCAGCTCAGACCTGTGAGAAGCTAATCTGTGGGTAAGCCCTATGCACAAGGGGCAAGCTAGGTCAGTTGTGTACATGAAGAATGATTTAGTAGCCTCTGTAATTGAAGCCAAAAGTGCCAGCAGCTGTCAGTCTTCTTGATCTTTCCTAGCTCACTGCGCCAGTAAAATATAGATAATTATTGTGCAAAGTTCTTCTTGAAATGCAAGGGCATCTACTGCCTTTGGGACACTTCCAAATGCAGTGTATAAATAGAACCATGCTGGACTTGCTATGTGGCGAGGAAGTTCTTTATGCTTAACTCTTTCTTGGGCTGGTCCAGAGAAAAACTATTTGCATACATAGGATTGTGATGTTGATATGGCTAAGAAACTTGATTTTGCCTTTCCTACATCTTCCCATGTCATCTGCTGAACACACATATGCAAACACACACACATACTGCTTAGTGCGCAAATTTTCCACGGAGATCTGAATTTTGAGTGAAAAATTTGCAAACTAAAGAAGTGTCAACAAGAAAAGTTTGTGTGCAGTCAAAACTCTTAGAAATACAGCACATGTGACTCATCAGCATCAACCATCTTCTTTTCCATTCTCTTCTTTATCTCTCATTGCATCACAGTTTCCTATCCCAGAGCTTGGTAGTGATGCATCATGAGAGCCAATGGTTATGTTGCACATGATAAAGAACCAGGCTGACCTGGAAGCTAGTCTATAAAGGAGAAAGGGGGCACAAGGCATACGATCTACAACAGCCGTGACATAACTCAAAAGCATAACCAAATGGCTACAATTTGATTTCAAGTGTGACCTTTGTCTATGGCAACTTTTAATGTTCCTTGAGAAATACACTTTTCTTGCAAAACAGATAGAAACCTTTTCCCACTAAAACTATTTTTTGATTAAAATATTTTCATATACCTCTTTAAACAATGTTCTAATACTTGGCCAAAGTTTCAATCTTGGTGCCTAAAATTTGATTTCTAGGTCCACATCTAGGCACCCAAACTAGTGGTCAGTTTTTTCTGCAGAAGCCCATTGAATGTCCTATGTCTCTACTTTGCATTGAGTGACGTACTGAGGGCTTAGTAATTCTGAATCATCAGGCCTAGAGCCACGCTTTTGAAATCTGAATATCTAAAATCGGGTAGCTAAGGTCTTATCCAAAGCCTAATAAATTGAATGGAAAGGTCCCCATTGAACTGCTGGTTCTGTGTGAGGCTAATTCATCTACATTTAGACACCAGAATAAAAATAGCCTTGTTCAGGTAAATTCAAGGTTCTGAGCAACCAGTTTTGCTTGTCTTTGGTGATTCCTGTGTAAGTACTATACAGAGCACCCCTCTAACAAAGCAGATGGGAAAGGAGTGGAAACAGGTTAAGCTACAGTGTCACCTTCTCCATAAGCAGGTATGGTACTGCACTCATGTCAGGGGCACACCACATGTAAAACATATAGCAAGGCCTAATGTTTATACATGAACATTTATAAGAAGTTTATATATAATGGAATGTATGTGTTTATATGTATATATCAACATTTATATGTTGATATAAACATTGGTGTTTGTGTGTGTGTATATACATAGAACAAAAAAGCTTGCATATACATAAAAGAAAGCTTGCCTAATAAATATTTCCTGTAGTGCGTCATTCAAAAAGTGATAAGGGCCATAAACATGGGAAAGAAGTCTGCAGCTTAAAAGATGTATGGGTTAATTAAAATATTGACAACATTTTAACTAAGAGACTTTAAGGTGAGAAAGAAAAACCTTATCCTCCAGATAACCTGTGATGCCGTGGTACCCAGTCCTCTGGAAAGACCAGCAGATCAGTCAGAAAAGTCAGAAGAAAGAAAAGATCTTTGGCTAGAGAAGGAGCAGATCTGCTACAGCAGTTGCCCTGGATGGCTCCGATAGGCAGCCTTAGGCAGCAGGAGCTGGTGAGATGAAGTGCCTGGAAATCTGCAGGGTGCTCCAGCTCAGACAGGCTGCAGTGCCTGAGCAACCAGCTCTGCAGCCCATGGGGCTGCGGGAGGTGCTAATGCAGCTACTTACTCTTAAGTATAATTTTAGTAAAATTTTTGCCTAAGATAATTCTACCGATAAACTAAAGACAAATCAGTGTTAGCATAGAAGTCCTCTGGTGCTCCATCTGCAACTCTCTGCAAAGGGCTGGCACAAGCTGGAAATACCAGTCCTCAGGTCACAGAGAGCCACCTCTCCTCCGGGGCCTCTTTGACAAGCAGGAAAATGACAGAAAGAGCTGAGACTCAAGGGTCACACCAAGCACCTACATCTGGGACCCTGAGACTGGGGCAAGTGGCCTGCCTCCATGTATTTGGCTGGTGCTCTTTGATGCCAGTGTGCCTGTCTACCAGCACAGTGCTGTCCCGTCAGGGCATCTGGCATTAATGCTGACAACTGAATTGCCTTTTTTTCAGTCTTACGCAAATTACATGGTTTGACCTAAAAGAAAGAGAAAAGCACCTCAGTTCTGGATCAGCCTAACTTTTCTCATTCAAAATCTGCTAAAAATTGTGAATACCTGAGAAGAGATGACTTAGACTGGTAGTCCCATTTACAACAACTTGTTGGGATGCTCAACCTTAATTACATTGTGCTAAAGTTAGGCATGCGCCTATTCTCAAAGAGCGAGGTGGTTCATAGTCTTGGATGCCCCAGACTCTCAATGACAGTTTATCTTTGTACCCAAAAATTGCTAGGATCACCTTGAACTGTGACTGTTCACACCACTGCTGTTTTAGACAGTACAGCCCACACCTCTCCTCTTTTCATTGCCAGCCTGTGGTGAGCCCAAATGTGTTGGTTTGCTTGTTACGTTGTTCTCGCTGGAGATGGGCCATACTCTCTGTGGACGGCACAAAAGCCTCACCCCTCCCTGCCAGGGGCGCAGCGAGCTGCTCTGTGATGGAAGCGGCAGGGCAGGCGTGTGGCGGCGCGGTGCCTGGGGAAAGCCGTGACGCACCTGAGAGTCTGAAAAATCTATTTTTAAGCCACAGTGAGGATCTGATAATACTGGATGAAGACACAGTGTTCAGCTGGGATAGGGAGTCACAGCTTGTGAAAGATGAGAATCTTTCATACTGAATTATCAAGTATTCACCATATTTAAAAATAGCTTTTTCCATGTCCTTCTCCAGTCTCTGCTGCACGCCTGAGTCAAGCCCTATGAACACAAACTGACGGTGTAAATTAATGAAATTACAGCAGCACCTGGTGCAAGGTGGATCACAGAGGAAGGCTGTTGGCAAAATTCATTTCAAGGTCTCACTTTTCTCAGAGAAAATTTGTCTTCCTTGGAAATGCTGGAAGGAGGTTTGGTCAGCCATAGCTAAGGGAAAAAGAGTTAATTTTTATCAAGCGTTGCACTGAAGTCAGTTTTTCCTGACTGGGAGAATGTGTCAGTGGTAACTGTCCTTTTCCCTTTGAGAAAAGCATTTGAAGCAGAGAATGGGGGTGATTACAAACCAGGAGGGGAAATACAAATGAAACAGGACAGTGGATCATTTACCAACAACGTTTAAGCAACGGATATTCAACAGATGGTGCTACCGCAACATTTTCTGTCTGTCCTTAAGGCACAGTCCTGAGTCCAGGCTGTCAGTGCTGGTACAATCCCACATACAGCCCCCACCTAGAACTGCCTTGAGTAACGTACATGCAAATTTGGGTAATGCCCTGTAATTTCACGCATTCCTTACAGAGGTCTGGAGGGAAAGGAGACCTGCATTAACAGTGGGGCTACACATATAACTGTCTTCTTAAAGAAGCTGCTTTTTATAAAAGATACTGATCCTCTGAAGCCATGAAAATAACACATGAGGAATTCCTAGGAGGAGCATAATTCCTGATTTCGCAGCCCCAGGGACTGCAATGTGTTGTGCTCCTTGCATTGGCTGAAGACTTTGTTAGCAGGTCACAGCTCTGCAGCATTAGCCCGGACATGCACCTCCCCGGAAACTCGTCATACCGTGCGGGCGGCCTGTCTGGGACAGCTTTGCTGTGGGTCAGTCTGTGCGTGGATGCTGCAGGACCGCTGCCTTGACTGACCTCAGCAGGGCGGTAGTGCCTGTGACTGCCCCTGGCCACCTCTGCCCAGCACTGCTCCAAGCATAGCGTTGCCAGAAATAGGACCCTGGGAATCCAAGTCCAAAATCCAACTTTAGAAATGCAATTATATGACAATTCCAGTTGTGCGACAGAGGTTCTCTGTGACGATGACATTCATAGCACTAGCAGTGTAACTAACTCAGGCCATAAAGGTCACAGGAACAGCTGGAATCTGCTCGTTCCTGTGGATACACGTTAATAAACCTGCAGGATTTCCACTCTTACTCTGTAGCAATTTTTTTTTACAGTACAAATAAAAATCCAGGTACAAATAAAAAGGCCAGACTTGCATGACCCACTCTACTGCAGTTATCGCCAGGGCTTTTAGAGAGCAGTGATGGGATCAAAAGAGGGATAAGGAACACTACGAAGCAGGGTTTCACATGTTCTTCTTTATTTAAGTGAAACAAAAGCAAGAGAAAGTAAAGGCTTCACATTTCCTTCTGCTTAGCAAGTCTGTGCCTTTTATGCTGGTTAATAAAGACAAATACATTGCATATTGCAGTTTTATACACTAGAAAATCTAACACCGATGCCCAATAAGCGGGTGTTCCGGACAAAGGGGTTACAACAATCCCAGAAACTGCTGGAGGAGGCAGCCACACGTAACAGTGTCTAAGGATCTTGCATTTTACATTTTACAGCTGGATCACTGCAGAATAAAATAATTACACCATCACAGACCCTTTATAAACGTTAGCACAGGCAACAGAAATGCAAGAGTAAAAAAATTCATGACATCCTCAATTGATTGAAAACTAATCACAGAGGTGTGCTGAGGATGTTACTCATGTCTGCAGAGACACGTACTTAATCAACTCCAAGAGTTTCTGATTGTCTTTTACTCCTGATAAGACTTCACGAGGAGCCACATGAGCAGTACAGTAATCAGGACAATCATGAAGTTCAGGAAGAGTTCTTGTGTAGATCGCTCCATTTGGGGGAATAATCAGAGGAGAGCAGAGGTCAACAGGTAAAGCAAAGGGAAAACTTCAGTGGCTTATCTGGGAGCGTCCTTGAGATCAGCCTTCAGCTCACAGGCTCTTTTAAGGAAAAAGAAAAATATGTGAAGAACAGATAAGTGAAGGAGAGAAGTTCAACAGAGCCATTTATACAGGTATAAATAAATGCTTTTTCTGTGGATAAAACTTAGTAGGCACTACGGACACTAAAAGCAAAAGCTATCTCCAGCAGCTTATCACCTTCTTTGATTTCCACCCCCTGACAAGAAGCCTTCTCAGTATCACCCCAAAATACATCTCACAAGGTGAGCAGTCCTTGGAAATTAGCTCTGCTTTGCACAAGCTTTTTAAAATAAAGACCGCCCAAACCTCATTTATTACTTTGAACTGATATACATCACAAATATATTGCGGTTCAGAGTTCCTAATATTCTCATATTCGTTTGTGTAGTCTCATTTTCTAAATAAAGTAGGTGAAAACTGTTTTCTTACAAAGAAGTAGTGATTTCTACAATTTTTATCTCACTCACTTTTCCGCTTTTTCTTAAAGGATTAGTATTTATAAAATTTTGTACTGAAATACTACAGCTTAAAAGAATTCAAATTTCAGCCTCCCTTGTAAAGCTTAGCAGAGAAAATAGCGAATTCATGTTCCTGCTAAAAGTACAGGGAGAACCTAAGGTGCAACGTTTTCATTTCTGAAAAGCTTCATAAATTCTGTGAGTTAATCCTACAGATGAGATAGATAGACTTTTCCCAAACACCTTCTGACTTCCTTATACTTTCAAGCTGCCCTAGTTTCCTCACTTCAGAAATCCCATTCAAGTTAAATTCAAAAAGTTTTCTGTTGGCTATTGTTATTATTTATTTACTTTGTCACAAGTTTAGATTTTTGTATGTTCTTGGAATTCATGCAGAGAATACTTTATCATGCATAACATAGCTCTAATGCTATCTGAACGTGGTGTAAATAAAACAAAAACCTTTAAACAAATGAAGAATAAGCTCTAGGCAAACAAAAAATTTCAGCCACACAAACTAAATCTTAAAGGAGAAGCCGGATTAGTCTATAACATCGAGAAGCCTTGGGACTGTACTAGATTGAAGACAGAGGGTTTAAATAGAAACGGCTTTAGTCTGCAGATTAAATATTAAAAGGCTGGTACCTACACTTAAGAAAATTCCTGCATTCCCATGCTGTTTTGTCAGACTCCTATCTCCATGAGCAAGAGAAAATCTGACTTAATAAGTAAAACAAGTTTTTTACCTTAAGAAGTTAAATGGAGCACAGTGGTTCTGCCTCCAGGACTTTGGGGCAATGCAGATATTATTTCCTTCTCAGCTTCTTGCTCTGTCCCGCTCAGTTTGGATGCCTTGTCGCTATGTGGGAACTAAAGTAGTCTGAGGGAGGAGAGGAACAAATGTATTGGCATCCGAGATGCTGACATCACACCCCAAATATTTTAAAAGGGCTAATCTGGGCTGCAGGATTCAGCTAAGGTTGTTTATGCATGGGAGTCTAAGGGATCATTTACTTACTGTAATTTTATTACTTCTTATGGTGTGCTGTACTAAGGGCAGACCCTTGGGAGTCAACGGGATTTTAAAGTTAATTTATTTTGGCAAGTTGGTGTCTTCATGCCCTAATTTCATTTCCCTAATGTGACAAAAAGAAAATAAAAGGAAAGAAAAAACAAAAGAAAAGGGAAGAAGAGAGAAGCAGCATGTGTGTGCAGATTTCAAGGTCCCTGAAGACCGGTTCGTGCGGCTGGAGCCCTGACTGCAGAGTTAGCTTTGTAAGAACAGCACAGCTGTTGCTGTCCTACATACTTATTGCAGTCTCCGCAGCCTCTCATGTTCGTATACTTTTAAAAGAAAATGAACAGGAGTAAGCTATTTTTTGCATTTATATACAGACTAATGCAATACAGGAACATTTGCGAGATGGAAAGGTCTGGGGCTAGGGATTTTGGAAATCATAGTCCATTGCATTAAAGAGACACTTACCTACCTCCACTCTCTTCCTTCATTGATTTTCAATGTCTCTGGTATCAATGCTCCAAACGCCTGAGCAGAGAAATTACTTCTGCCACCCTGAAGCGTTTCTTCCCAGAAAGCACACTACTCTGAGGCCCAAACTGCCATAATCCCCACATAATCTTATCTTTGCCCAAGACACTGCTAAAACTCATTATACGCTCAGACAAAAGGAATTTGCTGCTTACTTTCCTTTGAACAAATACATCTGAAAGAGGACATGAGCAGAGCAGGCTAGATTGAACCAGGACCATATACTGCCAGCCCTGTGCTGCAGAAGCACCGCTCGCAGGGTCATCCCCTCAGATGGGGGCTCGTAGCCTTCGCTTCAAAGGAATAACTTCTATATTTCCACTGAAGTCAGAGAAGTCACTTCTGGAGCACAGTGCATAAGCGTGAGGATCCTGATGAGGTTTAAGTGCATAAAGCTCTCCACAGAACTGGTCCTTATTCTCACCCCCAAACCCCGCCATGATATATAGCATGCAAACTATTTACTCATTCTGATGCCTTTCATATATTCACATTCGGGCATGCTGTGACACAGTGTAGCTTCACAATATCCAAGCCTCCATGAGGTCCCCAATTTCGGCCTTCCCTTTGCACCAGCACAGAGACCCCCGTAACTGTGCCATGCCCCTGGTGAGGGATCCTGGCTGGCTGAAAACCAACCCAATGAAAAACAAAACAAAACAAATAGCTGCGTGGGTTACCAAGGGGGTGGAGGGAAGGGTTGCCTGGGTTTTGCTGAATGATCTCCATAAATAGCCTTCTCACATAATCACTAGAGGTAGGAGGAGGACCAGAAATCTTCACTTTCATTGGCTTAACTGCCTTGCAACTGCACTCTTAGATGCCCAAGCAGCAGGTTCACAAAAGCTAACAAGCTGACTAGGAGTTCTCTACTGAAAAATACAGAGGAAAGAGCAAAGGCTTGACCGCCACCTCATCCAGGGAGTTAGATGCCTAAGCAAGTTGCAGGGTCCTGCAGCCATGCACACCTTGCCAGGCCGAGGCACCGCAGCTCGTTCTCATACGGAGAACATTGGCCGACCTCGTGTTCCCTTTTAGTGGATATCCCAGTGGTTACAACATTTACTGAGGGTTTGGGAAACCCAGATACAAAACACTCCCCCTCATCCTGAGGGAAGCTGGGTGAGTATCTGACATGAACCTGCCCTATGCTCTTCCGTGTCACATGCTCTGAAGCAGAAATCTCTTGAATTTTCAGGCAATGGCTATTTCATTTCACCCTGAATCACATGACTAGCCACCAGGATAAAGGTAAAATATTTGGGTGCCGTTGATCCTAATTATTAAATGTTACACATCAGTGCCCACATGTTTCCCTTGGGCTATGAGGCTTGGAGATCTTGGGGTTTATTTTACTTTCTGCCAACAGAAAACTCAAAAAAAAAAAAAAAGAAAGAAATCAGACTGACAGACAAACAGAAATGTCTTTCTTTAGCTGGAACCCCTCAGCTCTGGCCACCAGGCAGGTGTTTGTGCTTCCACATTGGCAGCGAGCCCTTCCTGTGCAGGAGCAGCACACTTTCACCTTCTTGGACCTCACCCACAACAGCTAGAAAACTTCTCTTCTTCAAAGTACTCCTGAAAGAGCACTATAAATGTCATTAACCCACACATATAATAAATACCCTAACTTCTGCTTATCCTTCCTCTGTCTCTACAGGCTCAGACCCTTCTATGGTTATTTGAACGGAGGATATTACAGGAGATCACAGAAGGGTATGTAGGATTATAAATGGACCAGATGAAAGGTTCATCTCACCCAGTCATCTCACCCTGGCTGGTAGGGAAACCTGGAGAAAGCATGTAGAAACAGAGCAAATATATATATGATCCTTCCCTGCTCTCCTTCCCTGCATATTCTCCAGCTTCTAGGATTCAACCTATTGGAACAAGTGGGTTGGGACTACAGATAAGGCTGGTCTTATGGCTCCTTCACTGCTCCTACTAACAGGCTGTTCCTTCAAATTAAATGGAAAGGTCTATTCCTGCAGCTGTAATAGCTTGTATTATGAACAGTTCTGCACCATCGGACTTGTCCATAGCTGGACTTCTCTACACAATACCCTGCATATTTTTAGCATTGAAAAAATGAAATAGCAAATTCAAATATTCTATATAGCAGAGAACTTAATTTCCCTCAACCTAGTAATCTGAAGGCAGTTCATTTGCTAGAACTGAGACCCAGCTAGCTTAGAAACACTTTCTGATTGACAGAGCTAGTTCACAGTAACTTTAGAAGAGGCAGACTACTATGTTACATGTACTTGTGATGCTACCTGACAAGATGTTCCCATATATGTACATAAAGTCTTGGAAAAAAAGACATTACATTAAACAGGGGCTACCAGTAAAGATATTTGAGCTGTGGAAAGTGCCTAGATTTTACCTGGAAATCCAATCCATGTTTGGAACATTTAACTTCCATAGACAGGAGGCTGCAATTGCCAGAGACTGCAACTTCTGGACCGTTTCAACAAACTGTACCTGGGCTGTTTACGAACAGAGAGACCAAATACCATAAAGACAGAATCTTTAAAATGATGGTTTATTTAACCAAGTGATTTAATATTGGTTAGGAAAGCAGAAAGAAGAGAAAGAGGAGGATGAACTGAACAGTTTTACTTTAAATGCTAGCCCAGGGGCTTAGATACTGTGCTCAATATTTTTCTTGTTGGGACTTCAATTTTTATTTCTTTTTCTAATAGATCTGGATGTTCTCAGTTTTCACATGCCCTATGCCAAAGCTCCCTCTTCGTGCCTCACATACTCAAACTTAAGGCTCTAGTCTATATTTAAAGTTGCTGTGACTACTCAAGTTCTTCTTAGCCTACTAATCAAGTAGCACACAGTCTTTCAAAGCCTTTTTTACATAATCAGAGTAGATTGTGTCCACTCTTGCTCTCGTTATTACCATTCTTACTAAGTGCAGTAATTTTTTTTAAAATTAATTAATAATTGGTTCACCCCTACTCTCTAGTGTAATGATGAATACATTTTCAGAAGACCCACTTAAAACACTGATATCTTATTCTATAGGAAACAACCAACTTTGCTGCAATGTACTGTACTTGCAATCACAGTATGTATTTCATATGTTACTATGACATCTTAGTATGAGAAAAGAAAACACCTATTGGTTAAGACTGCTCAGCAGATAGGCCACAGATCTTTTATCTGCCGATTTACAGTAGCAAACTGAAACCACCACTCAGGGAAAAGCTACTGGGAGGAGACGTGTGAAGGATCCTGAACATCGCATCATCTCGTTTTTAGGCTCCTAACCAAACTTACAACATTGACAGCAGGCTCCCATCACAGTGCACGGGAAGGTATGAGACCCACATCTCCATGGGTAGCTGCACAGCCTACAGCGTAAAGCCACCCTCAGCAAGAGTCAGCACAGGCTCCCTTGAAAGAGTTCATGAAGGAAGATCAGGCACTTGGAACATGCATGTCATCTACCCGTTTTAGATGAACTAAACTCTATGGATTGTACTGATCAACTGTGAAGGGAGTTTGGCGTGCCTAAGAGGGATGGACCTGGTTAAACGGCAGATGAAGCATACTTAGGCAGATTAACCTACCTGAGTTACTCAGGAATGGGATCCATACCAGCCATGGACTGAGGAGGCAGCTGTTTAAGTTAGCCAACAGAAAATACTGCAGGTAGAAGAAGTCTTAAATGTTACCGCTGTTTGGGAAGCTGGTACCTTTCTTGAAGCTGCAGAGAGACAGCTCAGTCTAATTAGATGTAGGTGGTAGGTGTAACTCTTTGTGTTAAGTCTTTTAAACTTTTATTTTAAAAGCTAAGTGCTCTGTTGATTTCCTTCCTCAATGCAAGGAGTAGGGCTTTTCATCCTCCAAAGCCCAGTGCACTGTATCTCAGTCTGGAAATGTCATGTATTGTTTCTATATAAAGTTGCCAACACAGCAGATCAGGAGAGCTTGACAGATATTATCATGTCTGCATGGCATTTACATTAGCATCAGTATCTCCTTTTGGGCTTACTGAAGTATAAAACAGATCCCAAAGTGGGCAAGGGCATCAGACCAACAGAAGCAAAGGAGAACTCATTAGATAATCAGACTACCCAGTCACAAAAGGAGTTACCAGTTAGTTACATCTCCACGGATCTTAGGCTCTCAAAAACCAACTGCTTTGAAGAAATCTTCAGAAATCACAGCCATTGTTTCTTCAAACAACAGCAAACTATACCTCCATTTACTCAGCAGGTCGGCAGCAATAGCCACACAAGGGAGGTGAAGATCTGTACTCAGTTCTGTCCTCAGCAAAGGGAGTCCCG